GATATGTAGAACTGAATGGTATTGTAAAATAAAAAATATATATCACAAAAAAAAAAGAGTTTTTTAACCCACGTTTAGAATGGGGAGCAGTATTAGGATGTAGGGAGTTAGGTCTCTGTATGATTCCACAATGGATAGTTTGAAAATAGAAAAATTAAATGAAAAATCAACTTAGCTGGGGTTGACATAATGTCGATTATAATCATTATCAGCTTGGTAATTCATGTTTTATCTTTTAAAAAGTGGTTTGATATCTGTGCCATATAAGAAATATTGACTGATAAGATACAATCCTTAGAAAGACCTACTATTTTGTATATAGTTTTACTGTGTTAGAGTTAAAACCTTCCCTTTTTATTTAGACAAGAAAGGGGGAAATGTGGGATATTTTGATCGCACTCTGACACTCAGGAGACTGCCAATAAAGTTTACTTTAAATAAGAGGGGTGGAGCTAGCTATTGGCTGACCAAAATTAGCTACAGAGGTTTTAGAGGACCAAGAACATATAGAGAGACACAGGAAGTAGTAGGGAGGGGCTTAGAGAGATTCTTGGTCCTGTTGGATAGAGGAAGGAGAGAGCAAGGAAGACTGGTTGCTTCTCCACCGTTTCTCTCGTCAATCAGGTTCTCACTTCAACATCTGACTCCGAGTTTTTATTGAAAAAGAATAATTAGATAAATGCTTCACCCTTCTCCCCTTCTCCCACCCCAGTCCTTAACCTAATCGCAACCCACTAGTCGCTTGTTCATTTTATCATTCAAGACTGTTACAGAAATGGGCAGATGGGGGTGGAGTGATGGCCCAGTGGTTCACAGCACTGGCTGCTCTTGCAGAGGACCTGGGTTCAATTCCCAGGATCCACAGGGTGGCTCACAACTGTCTGTAACTCCAGTTCCAAGGAATGCAACCCCCCTCTTCTAACTAGGCACACACATGGTACATATACATACATACAGGTAAAACACATATGAAGTAAAATGAAATTAATATTTAAATTTTAAAAGAGATAGGTAGAGGTTCCAGCCGTGATGGTGCACACCTGTAGTCAAATTACTTGTGGTGCTAAGGCAAGAGGGTCAGGAATTTGAGGACAAGCTGGGGTACTTAGTGAATTCCAGGCCCACCTGAGCTGTAAAACATGAGCCTATTTCAATAAATGTAAATAAATAAAGCAACAAACAAACGAACAAAACAAAGTCAAGGGGGCTGGAGAGATGGCTGTTCTTGCAGAGGACCCAGGGCTTGGTTCCCCCAACAAGGAGAGCACAATTACCTGTAACTCCGGTTCTAGGGCATTTGATGCCCTCTACTGGCCCCCATACACTTAGGTACACATGTACACATAAAATAAAATAATCTACAAAATGAGAGGGGGAGACTTGAATGGATATTACTCCACAAAAGATGTATGTGTGAAGCCGGGCGGTGGTGGCGCACGCCTTTAATCCCAGCACTCGGGAGGCAGAGCCAGGCGGATCTCTGTGAGTTCGAGGCCAGCCTGGG